GGGCGGCGCGCGTGCTGCGCGCGTGCGGCCAAGGCGCACCCCAGGGGGGGCGGAAAGTTTCGCGGAATATCGGAGAAGCAATTTGGAAAAGTGCGCCGTTCCGGCGCGGTGCCCTGCTACGATTGTTATAAAATTAGAGCGAAACTTTCATTATTTTCCGACCGCGGTCCGCGGGCTCCCCTTTGAGAATACGCCGGCTTTTAGTTTCCCCGATGGAACGAGGAGATCGCGGAACTCCGCGAGATTTATGGCGTTAACGGTGTGGCGAACAGGACGCCCCGCGCAAGTGTCTCCCCGTATTCCGCATTTGTACAACGTGTTCCGCCGCGGCGACATATTACTTTAACTCGTCCGTAAACTGTTCCGGCCTGGCTACCCTTTTTCAATTATTTTCTCGAACGTAATACCCTTTTTCTCGGAGCATTTTCAACGAACAGTCGAAGCGCTGTTACTCTTCTAATAACGGGAATGGGAAATAAAGTCAGGCAAGTGCGAGGGCTCGGTAAGCTTTCCCGAGTAACGCGGCCAGTTATTAATCCCCTGGTTTACGATCCTTCCACCGACAAGAATGACTTTATTGCCAGTGATTTTGTGGAACGAGAAGGAACGGATAGTTTCATTCGGAAAGACAATTTCTTCGCGACTGGTCCAACTGAATACTATTAGATGAACGTTTCAAACTTCTTCATAGAATTCTACTCGTATCGATGAAATTGTTTTCCGCGAGAAATCGATTTCAAGTCCCAAGAATGGTGTCCCCGAAGAGTATTCCCGACAGCTTCTGCGAGATAACAGGTATCGCGAAATTTCTTGTCGCGCTCGAGGCGGTAAGGGTCGAACCCGAGGGTGTCGGGGAACAGAAGATTCCGGTTCTCGCGGAATTGAACTAGCAGCAGGGCAATTCTCTACTACGTGTCACTTATGGCATGATTACAAGCGACGAACCTGATGAACTCCACGGTGCGCAGGAACAGCTCCTTTGTGTCGAGAAGTTCGGAATCGTCCCAAGGAACGTTCTCGTTGATGTGAGCCTCGGCCAGGTCGCAGTTGCTCTGGATGTTCGCGATCTCCAATTCGAGATTCTCTTTGAGCTGGATCAGGCCTCTGAGCTCGGTGCTCAGGTATCGATCGACCTCGTTACGCAGATGTTCCGTGCGGTCCTTCAAAGCCTTGCTCAGCCTCCGATAAATCTCGTCCACCTCTTCGGCGACCGAGGCGCAGTTCGTTTGCAGACCCAGCGTGTTCTTTTCCACCAGCGCCAACGCGTCCTGCAGCCTGTGCAGCCCCCTGCGTATCTGCAAAGAGGATTACCGAGGATCGATCAGATCGTGGCCTACGAATAATTATCGAGGGGGCGTGACAAACAGGTCGAGCAACCTGTTGAGATCGAAAATTGATGGACGTTCTGTTCGACGAGGTTCTTTAATGATTCTAGACGGGTTCCGAAATGAATTCGTTTCAGTTTCGGATGCTTAAAACGTAAAGGTTCTATAGAGGAAAGAATGTACCAGGGGATAGTTCCAGTGGTACCACCCTGTACATGCTCGGACAAACTTGATCTGAAAAAAATGTACGCGTAAGCTTGCATTCTTTGGAAAGTTTCCGAAAGGAGTCCGGAAGAGGCACGCGCGTAAATCATTTCCCTTAAACGCACAAGTACGGTATTTCCGTCGAGGATTTTGCTTCGAAATAGAATTCGCACGGTTAGGGGGGCGTTTGTTTTGCACGCATTCGGGGGACGAACAAATATACCGAGGGTTATTTTCGTCGTAGCCGGTGCATACCGCGTAGTTGCAGCACGGTTATGTTGACCTGAATTCGCGGTCGAATCGAATCGTTCGATACGAAGGACGATTTGAATATTTCCGCCGCCGCCTCCTCCGGCTTCGAACTTCGAGCCGGGTAATGCGCGCCGGACCGCCACGGCTGAGGAGCGTTTCATTAAGCCCGCCATTGTGCCGGGGAACAAAGACGCGATTCGCGGACGGAAGGACAGCGAAATCTGTTCCTCAATTGTTCGACGCGGCGTCAACGCTTCCTGCCCGCCTAACCTAAGACATTGCACGAGTCTCCTCGTGAAAAATGTCGTTTGAAATTTCTTCGACGGCAGCCCAACATGTCGACATGACGGTAGCCTAACGGCGATCGTTTCCTCGAAACGTTAATCGACGCGTGGCCACGCACCACCGACGTACACATATAAATGAAACATGCAGTGAGCGACTATCCATCGAGGCGTCCCCATCGACTGTCGAATATCGAGATAACAGGTGTTCCGTTCGCAGGAATTTCCCGGCGGCGGACTTTGTCGACGCTTTCCTCGAGCTGCATAATAGCTACAGGGAGCACCATAATTCACCGGCGTTGGAAATTATCGACGAGGTAGCCTAGATCCTTGCCATCCCGCGATAGATGTACCTCCCGTTCGCGCGACACCGGCTGAAAAATGGACCGGCTGTATCTCTAGGCTAAATACCGGCCGCCAGCATGCGTCTTTTTTATTAATCCGATCGACCGGGATTTATTTAGGCGGCCGTAAATTCCGTTCGTATCTCGCGGCGCTCTCGATTCGGAGGAAAGAGAATGGACCGGAGCTTCGTTCGATTTAACGACGAGCCGAGTAATCGAAAGCGTGCCGCTGTCAATATAGAAAGATTGTTTGTTTCGCTGAAATATTCCCACGGAAATGTTCGCGTCGAATATCGATGACTGTTTTCCCGATTACAGCATTAAATACGAGAGATTAGAGATCGCGCGAAATCTATTCAGATAATCGATCATTAACTTCAATGGACCGTTCAGCGCCTATAAATTATCTCGTTTCGTTGATCTCGGTTTAATTTTAATGTAATTGGATATCGCCGTGCGAATAGAATATTAGCTTTAACGCAATCGATTCGAATAATTACGCAGCTGAACGAATTGGCGCAAGAATGGGCTGACCGTTTAGCGAGGCGAGGCGTTCTAGCCTACAGGTCGGATCCGGAGTACGGGGAAAACGTATTTACAGGTTTCCTAAGGGGCGCGCCTGAGAATCTCAAACCGGAGGACATTCTGGAACGCTGGTTAGTCTCCGGAAACCATTCAGAACCTATTCTTATCCCGATAGCATTGCCGTTTTACAGGATCGCGTTTCTCGGTGAAAGTTACCTTTCAAACGACAACCGTTCTTTTTGACTGATCTGTAGGTATCGCGAGGGTAGATACTTCAAATACGATCAGGAAACGGTGGAAAATCTGCAAGATGTGCGGCACTTTACGCAGCTGGTATGGAAAGGTTCAACGTCGATTGGTATTGGAATGTCTACCGATTCCGATGGTCAAACGTACTTCGTTTGCTTTTATCAACCCCCGGGAAATGTTGCTGGGGAATTCGCGGCGAATCTCGAGTCTCCGTTTAAGGTAAATTTACATGTTCGTTCGACAAATTCTCTATATTGATATCTTTGAAACATTTAGCAACCGAATAATGTAAAATTCGAGAACTCTTCTCGCGAACAAAGCGATGCTTTGGACGAAAGAGTGGATTTTATTCGAGCCACACTGGTAACGTGTAAAAAACTGGAGATTATTCATTAATAGATCCGCTAGCAGGCAAAATGTAAATATTTTCGACACCGCGGAGGACGAATCGAAGACGGAAACAGGTGGGAGCGATGAAAGAACAGGAAACGGAAGTTTCGAAACGCGTCGGCGGTTAATCGATCGCGACTCGGGGCGCCTTGATCTATCGAAGCCCCTCTCGAATTTCGCGTCTGTTCGGGACGCAATAAGCCGTGGCTGTCGATGCTAGATCGCGGACTGTGTTCCGTCTCAAAGGCGATCGAAAGTTTATTCCGACCGTTCTCCTATCCCGCGGAAATAGACGTGAATCATCCCCCGGTTCGGTATTTCTGGAGACAGCGAGGATTTACGGCCGCCTGATCCTCGGAGAAAGTAAGTTCGTCCTCGCCGGGGTCTCTTGGGCGTCCTAACAGCGTCTGGTGGTCGGCTGTGAATCCGCTTCCGAGTCTGTTTTCAATCTCGATCGAGGTTGGGGCCGGAATTGAAATCGGTCGTCGGACAGGTTTAATCGCTGGGAATCTGAATTCGGATATCGGAATGATGGAAAGGCGAGGGCGAGCGAGTCTCGAGGGTCGTTCGATCTTGTAACTCCGGTTCGAAGCGTCGCTATTATTTATTAGAGAATATTCCTTCCGCGAAAGGGCTAGTTTGTTTCGAAACGGCTCTGTTCGATTAGAGAATGTACGAAAAACTCTGTGCTAGCGAGAAACGGTTGCTCCGCAGAGGAATGCGAGTAAAAAAGGATAGCGCGATGCTATCCTTTTAGAAAATATTTCAGTGGAAAACAACGACTCGCCGTTCCCTCTGTGTGCAGCGCGAATTCCTCGATCCCGTGGGTGGCAGGGGCGCGATGTACTCGAAAAGGATACGCAATTTCTCTAACCTGAGAATTGATGCGCGTAATTTCACGCCTGAGGATGTCCATGTGAGCGTCCTTGCACTCGGGGCAACACTTTTTCTCACAGTGTACGCAGAGCGAGCAGTAGCTTTTCTCCGAACAAACGCCGCACCGTTCCATCGTCTGGCCGCTGGTCGGGTCCGGCAGCTCGCCGGTGATCTCGATGTGCAATTCCAGGAATCGCTGCAGGGTCACGTTGGTCGGGAACGCCTGCACGCCCTGCATTGAAAAGTAGACGATAGAAACTCGGGGAATCGCATGATCCGCACAATAGAAACCAATCGAATCGTTCTCGATATTCGGACTTTACTCGACGCAACCTTGTCCTTTCCGATCATTTCGTAGAAGAACGAAAGCTTTCGTTCGTTTCCCGAAAAGTATCAGGATATTTCGATGATACGCGCGGCACATCGAATTTGCAGAACGGATTTCGAGCCCCAAAGCGGACCCGATTCCGAAAGAGCCGAGTCATGCGCGGATCTACTTGAAGTATATTCCGGGCCGACCCTGCTCGATTGAATAATCATGACAGCCCGTTGAAACGAAAGGAATTTTGTAGTGGGTCGGGCACAGGTTCGCCGGTGAGACAGAGCGGCAGCTTTTACGCGGAATTGAATTTCATACGGAATTTTCTGCTGGTTTCTCGGTTGTGTCGCGAGCCCAGCGTTTTCTTGGTGGCGCGGGCCGGGCTTTAATTAACGACGACAGAGCCGCGTTTGATGTACGCGGTCTCGTCCCGGGGCAAAGGAGAAACTAAGACAAATGGCTCGTGAGAGGTGTCACACTATGAAACGCGAAAGTTCATCCAGTTTCATGAGGGATCTCGCCGCAGATTCGCCGTTGAATAAAGATGAGCCCGGGCCGCGCATTATACCCGGTTCGGCGGAACCTTGTTCGGGGCCGCACGGTTCATTTGAAAAGCCCGCGCGGCGTGCCTGTGCCCGTGCATTTGCATCGGCCGCGAGCAGCTTTTCATATACGAGACCGACCACCGCGTTTATCCCGCCGACTAATTTCCACCGGGGAAATCGAAAAATTCTAGAAATCCCTTCGAGCGATTTTCATTCGATACTTGGACCGCGGATGCAAAGAATACGCGCGGCGATCGATAGTTTTCGGTTCGTACTCACTTGATAAGGTATACGATGTTCCGCCCTGCATTCCGGACACTTGACCTGTCGACGCACGTAGTCAACGAGGCCATCCATGCAGGGTTCCATGCAAAAGCTGTGCTGGCATGGCAAAAGCTTCGGGTTCCTGTATCGGTCCAGGCATATCGCGCACGTTAGCAGTTGCTCGAACTGCTCCATGCCTGAAACATGCAACGAACACTTGTTACGTTTTCCTTCCCTCGCCTTCCGACTGCCGCTCTTGGTATCGTTTCTATTTCGATCCTACAGGGAGATCCCACCGGATCGATACTAAACTCCTCGATTTAACGCGGAGAACCATAGGTTTCGCTGTTTCGTTAACGATCATTTCGCGTCGGATGCTACAGACCGACTCAAAACCGTTGTATCTTCGATCGGAAAATCTTGTTCAATTGGAGCTAAATTTACAGATTGAAAGCTTTTATCGGGCGGGAAGATTCCGCTTTGTAAGCTATGGCGCGGTGCAGAGAAATATAGAACGTACGTAATTGAAATCAAAAAGACGCCGTGTCTTCTAAGATACATAAAGAAGAGCTAGTGGATAGGCGGCCGAGAATCGGACGTCTGTTCAAGATTACTATTTTCGAACCGTTCACTTTACTGGCTACTGACGTACTGGCTAAAAATTCCTGCGATCCTCCGTTTATATCCACCCGCTCGTCAACAGTTTATCGTCTATAGATCGTTTCGTCATCTTTCCCGTCGCGGGGAATAAAATCGCGATCGGAAATGCGCCGATTAATACCGAACGACGGAAGCCATCGGTATCTTTCGATGCTGTAACCGATGAGCTCCATCGAACCTTCCAACCACCACCTGAAAGTCGTCCATGGCGCGTCTGGTGCTTCTCGCGAAACGTCTGACGTTACCCAATAATATTTCGCAACGCACGCCGGTACTCCGAATAGAGGACCCGACGTATTCATTCGATGTAGCGGACCGATCTGCGTCACGAACTTCGATTCTGATCCTTGTGAAATATTCTCGAGTGCTTACGTCACCCGACGAAATACAGAGTTATCCTCGTCACAGCCAATAAATAGTTCAAACGACTAATCCGTGTTGCAATTGGAGATCTCTATTGTGCCAAATCATTATTCATCGAACGCGTTTCGTCTGCGTCCACGGAACGTATGGTTGTTGATCCAGCGGATCCGAGACAAAAGATTCCACCGAATCTCTTTTTCCATCGAATAGGAATTTCGAGTAGGATTTAAGAGTAATCGCAAATGCAACGCGGCGTGCGAGAATATAAACGAACGATGACGGAAGGTGCACGAACGACTCGGCTAATCGTTTTCGCTCGCTGATTTACCAACACCGCCACCGTTTTAATAGTTTCGATTTTTCTCTAGGTTAACAATGTACAGCGGGTCTGCCAAGACAATGTCAAGACCCCACCGGTGTCGTTGCTCTTCTATTTCGAGACGACCGGTGTATTATTCGCGGGAAAGTCGATGCTCGGTGGGATGGGCGAACCCGTACGGTGTCTCTTTACACGCTGTACAGCTTGAAAATTGGCCAAACAACGACTTCGTCTCGCGATTACAAACAACTTTAACTTTGCCAAACCACTTCGCAGCCTCGGCTTTCAACGGAGCGTTTGAAAATTTCCCGGCTGGTTGACGGCCCCGCTGGTTTCGATTCACCAGAGAAATGTCCCGGCAAAGCCGCTCGAGGATTTGCCGGGACGCAGGGTCGTCTAGCTTGTCAATTTCTCGATAACTCGTGCGCTATTAATATTGCACCGGTGTTCCACGAGCCCGAGCGATCGAGAAAAACATCCCGATCTAAGAATACTGTATTCCGCGGCGCGCTAAAGTGAAATCCGCACGATTTATAGCGTTCGGGGAACGTGAAACTTTTCCACCGTCTCGCTCGGCCGAGAGATACTTCTTTTATACGCCGTTAAGGAGCCTGTAAATCCGAATGGTTACGTAGACGGTTTCACGGTCCTCGTAAAATAACCGCCGTCCACCGAGACTCGAGAGATAAGCTACCTCGTTTCTTCGCCGGCCCCTTAATCGACCCTTGAACGGTACGCGCGCTTTTCCAACGATCTCGTTCGCGATTCTCCCAAAGAATTTGTTTCCTAGCAAAAAATCCCACCTCCGCGACGATTTCTTTCGCTCGGTTGGACTCGCTGCGAGATCCGGAGGGACGATGATCGCTAGAGGTGCTTCCGAGAAACTCTCCAGTGCAAAGGGTTAAATATAAAATGGAGTATTAGAGCGTATCCGCGTCGAAGCACCGCCGGACAAGATTATTCGAAGAGTTCGCGGACACGTTCGTCGGCGTCGGAGCCAAAAGCATCTCGGTGTTTCGCAAGAGCGACGGTTTGGAAGGCCGCGCGAGCCTCGGGACCGATCGCCGCCGTCCTATCCGCGACCGGAAACCCTGGCCACGCATTAGAGAGCATTGTTGCTCTTAGACCACTTAGAACCACTTGTTGATCTTCGAGGCGAATTCCGGGGTGCAACAGGCGGCTAGACGCTATTGTGTTAGCAACTTTCTGGAACCCGGGACTCGGGAGCAAGTCGAATGTTAATCCCGACGGCGGGGGAGGACGAACCGCGACTTAACCAGCTTTCCTAGCTTCCCATTGTTTCGAGCCGCGTCGCCGGTACATCCGAGAGCTTCCGTCCAACTTTCGAGACGGGAAACGAGACGGAGATCGATGGACGAGTATTCGGAATTAGAGCCACAGTTCTTCGCCGTCGAGTCATTCGCCTCGAGGCGCGATATTCGGGAATGCGGGAGATTGAAATTCGAAAGATATTCGTTCGGTTTCATAAGTGGTTCGACGAGTCTCGGCAAACGAGTAAAATCGGAATTTGTAATATATTTAACGCCCAGACACAATGCGCATAGTATTCCCTCTTGTCTCTGTTAAACTACTCGCGAGGAAAATGTTTCGCGCGAGCACTCGGCGCGTGTGTCGGAATTGAAATCGTTCCAGAAGAAACAACGACGGCAGAACTTCGCAGCAACCTCGTTGCGCACGGGGAAATTCGATGAAGAGCCCGGCAGTTCCCGGAACAGAAGGAAACAAAGAAGATTCCCGGTTGCGCGCATCTGAGAATGTTTAGAGGAACATCGATATCGAGCCGCCCGTCGCGCGTAATTGTTTCGTCGAAGATCGAGCAATGTTTCGCGAGCGATCGGGCACAAAGAATTCCCCGAAGCCTCCCCTCGGCGACGCCGTCGCCGTCGACGTCGCCAGGTACACGTGGCGCGTTATTATTTTCGCGCCAAGCGATCGAATGGCGCGGCGAGTGATTCAGCGTTTCCCTTTGTCTGGCGGAAACGCCGCGAAACGCAGCGAAAATCGTGGGCGTCGCGTCGTTTCGACGGGCCGCGGTTCTAGTTTACGTTCCGCGTTTCCTCGATGCACAAAGCGCGTGAAACGCGATATCCCCTCGGCCCCCTCCCGGCCCCGAGGAATTCCTTGAACCGCGAGGACCTTCGTCAACGCCGAACCTCCCCGACTCCTTCGAGAAATCCTCTTTTGATCTCCGAGACAAAGACGGGCGACTTTTTCCCTTGGTTCGTCGAGAAACGCAGCTACGCGTGAAAATTTTATGTCCTCGGTTTACCACTGCTCTCTGCCGGCAGCTTCTTTTACGCATGTTTTATCTAATAAAGGAACGGGCAACGCTTTACGCGAATCGATGAAGTTGTCGGTTCGACGTTGGTGTCTAAGCATAGTGTTTTCAGATTCTAACAGACACAGTTACTTATTCGCGACACATTTGAAAAGTTTCTAGAGTTACTTTGTAATCTAATATTAAAATAACGATAGCGATCATCCGAGAAAGCCACTTCCTTTCGTAGCGAATCTTCTAAGCTAGAATCGCAAGCCTTCGAAAGAGTATAAAATCTCCGGACTGAATCTGTGCGCGTTACGTACCCAGGAAATGATTCTACGATGCTTCGAAATCTTCAAAGCCGCAGCATAAAATAAATCCGAGTCCCTTTCCGTTCGATCGGAGAAGAATAAAAGTCTACTTCTAGCTAAACGGAAACTCTGATTCGGTAAAAGAGAGAGAGAGAGAGAGGTAACACACGAACAGAACTTGACACTGGAGCGTACACTGCCGGCTCGCTATCGATCCATGCGCGGTAGATTCGCGAGCGATCGGTTTTCACGGGACACTGAGCATCCGTATCTCGCCGCGGTTGTTCTGGAATCGGTCGGTCCAGGGTATACTGACACTTTTCGACGTCAGTGGCCAGACTTACGCTAGCGAGGCGCGCGCGCTATACTTAGACGGAGACCTTCGATTTCCGGCGGCTCGTTTTCGACGAAAGATCCACACGCGAGAAAACCAACGAAACTTCTCGGACGGTTCGTTTAGCGGTCCACGCGTGTCTGTGCCCGTGCACGCGCACACGCGCACACGCGCCGCCGAGATCACGGATTTACGCACGCGTGCGGGAATTTTTCTCGGGTTTCCCGGTCACCGACTCGAATATTCCTTTTCGATTGCGACGCGGACGGAGATTTATCGCGTTATGCGGCTCGGCCGCGGACAAAAGAGACCTTGGTGTAAATTTAACGTGTTTGGGGACGTCTTCGCCGTGTCCCTCGAAAACTTCTCGATTTAAACAGCCACGAAGAAAGGAGCTTTATTCGGAGCAACTGCTCCACCGACCCTGTTCCCGCGCTTCTCCTTTTCTTGTCAACTCTCGTATTTCTTTCAGTCGTACGCTGGCCCAACTGCTCGACTACGCTTTCCGAGCGTTTCCAAAGTTCAACGGATAATTAGTTTCCCTCGTGCGTAATCGCCTTAGATTTTCCTCGCCTCGAGCAGCCGATCGGTACGATTCACTCTGGCGAGTAAACGATTCATGGAAAATAACTGCTTTCGCGGAATCAGTTGGAAACGCTGAATTTAACCTCGAATTTCAATTGTGCTCGTGCGTTTTTCGGTAGGATTTCGTTCAAGTGTCCGTGCCTGGCACGCTGTTTCTACTTAGCGAGCACGAACGCACGTGCACCAGTCGGCGGATACCTTCGATGTTGATTTTGTCGAACGCTTTCCGAAAATCCCCTTCGAGGATTAATAAAGATCTCCGTTCGACGTCTGTATCGTCTGTCCAATCGAATGTAACGCATAGTTGAATTTCCGATTCGAACACGCCCCGAGAATCAACTGCG